TGAACAACGAATTGATCTCGTCATGGGAATGAAGAAGCCATATGATTATTCTGATGCTGAACCGGTTTATCGTCTGAAATAGTATTTACTTGTGAAACTTGCAGAGCCTGATTTGTGCCATTTAGGATTGCCGCGACAGGCAAGTAGAAACAATTTGTGAAAGCCATTGTGGTTTTGCATATACGCAACTGAAAAAGAAACAGGTTTCAGTTGGAACTATATTGGCCACTGTCACTGCCCGTCTGACACATCACTTACTTTCTGACGTAATATATATTACTGCACACATTCCAGGAAAACTTGCAATGTTCAGGTGATGGGAAGAGATTTCGAGCACAGAATTGAAGAATGACATTATATGATAAAGAGGTTATCACGCGTGTGTGTTTGGGAAGGTAAATATCCTGTATAAGGAATAAACACTATGTATTTAGCTCGCGAAGGCTCACTAAATACAATGTTTATTTCTAATATAGGATATTTATCATCCCATAACACACTCGCGTGATAACCTCTATATACAGGAAACAAACAAATGTTTATCCGGAAATTCATTAAAACGAACTATTTCTCTGCGATTGGCAACGTAACGAATTACAAAGTTTTGCTGTTCATCGCCGCACTAATCCTCATTTTGAAAAATTGAATATGAAACTCGAGAATAGTGAACTGATTTCATGGATTGGTCTGAACTCATAATTGCAGGAAAGCAATCGGTATGGCCCTGTCGATGAAATTTCGTTCTTGACCGCAAGATTTATTGGCCTTCGACCAAACGGTTGATATATGCGACACATGTAAATATATTCGTCAACACCAGAGAATAAGCAGTCAGACAAACAGATTCCACTGGGTGTAAAAGACAAAATAGCGGTGAAAATAATATGAATGAATCACTGTACGTCAGTGATGATACCTAGTGTTCGCGAAAAAGGTGAGCTTGTTAACGAAAGGGGTCTCATTTATCAGACACCTTTCTTCACTTTTTAACAAATTGTGTGAGTGGCGGGTGCTACCGGTAGAACGGGACATGATTACCCTCTTTGCGAACACCTGGTGTCATCGCAGATTTTCAGTGATTCAATTATCATTTTCAGCATTAGTTTACCTTTTACGCTCAGTGGAATCTGTAATCGAGGCTGGTTACTCTCTAGCGGTGACGGGGGCGGTCGGGTAGCCGAGTGGTTAAAGCGTTCGCTCGTCACGCCGAAGACCCGGGTTCGATTCCCCACATGGGTACAATGTGTGAAGCCCATTTCTGGTGTCCCCCGCCGTGATATTGCTGGAATATTGCTAAAAGCGGCGTAAAACCAAACTCACTCACTCTAGCGATGACGTTTTGTATATAGTTAGTTATATGATACGCGCATCACTCTTGTGATGCTGGTCGTTGATGAAGGTTTGGCAGTCTAGTGGTTAGAGGTTGGGCTCTTTACACTGACGTAGTTCCTGATTAGATTACCCACACAGTACAAAGTGTGGGGCCCATTCTTTGTGTCGCTTCGTCGTAGTGCTTGAATATTGATAAACAACACTACTCATGTGCTCACTCATGCTGATGATTGCTTCATTCGTTGTCCTGTAACATTGTAAATTGTACCTTAACAATTGTACATTTCGACTATTGGAGATTACTCGTGTAGAAAGTATTGATATATTTGTCGAACTAAATGCCACATATCCTGCTTTCGTAAACAAAATGAGATGAGTTTTTGTAATGTTTTTTTTTTCTATCTGTTTAAACATGTGTACATGTATTTATAGTCGTTTTAAAATCAATTGATCTTGCGTGTTACGATAATGAGATTCCATCTATAACATACACTCTTAAACAAAATATATGTTTGGCCATAAAGCAAAATTAGCGGACCAAGAGGTGCAAAATGAAGGGGTTTAATGTGTTATAGTGTCAGTGGCAAATTTTCCGGATCAAAATGATCATAAAAAGGACATGCAAACCGTTAGTCGGGAAACACGTACGGTTCGGAAAAACGCACCCAATACATTAACAAAAGGGTCATGGAGCTGCACGTACTGCACGTGCATCAGCAACATGAACGGTATTTAAGTGCAGGGTTTGTGATTGCCTGGCATCTGTGTCAATCGAACAGCGACAGTTCAACAACATGCCAAGATTAACAGGAGTGCAAAGAAACAACGCCATAGGCCGCTTGCAGGCAGGGGAATCCCGATCAGCTGTAGCCAGGGTTTTCAATGAAGCGACCAGCACCATCACAAGGCTTTGGGATCGGTTTCAAGAGCATGGATCAACACGTGATCGGCCAAGGTCTGGACGACAAAGAGTATCCCCCCCCCCCGCCCAAGATCGCTACATCCGAATGCGCCACCTACGTGAAAGGACGGCAACAGCCACCTCAACCTGCATCCCAAATACTCGGACTGCGCAGAATCTCCGACCAGACTGCACGAAACCGTTAAAGAGCAGCAGGTCTATGAGCAAGATGTCCTGTTCGACGCGTCATATTGAGTCGACAACATCGTCAACAACGACTGCATTGGTGTCAACTGCGATGGAGAGATGTCTGGTTCAGCGACGAAACAAGATTTCTCCTCCGTTGAGGGGATGGAACGTTACGCCGGAAACGGCGTACAGGAAGTGGACAGGTTTGGTGGGGGTAGCGTTATGATGTGAGCGGCTATCTCTCATCATGGCAGGACAGGTTTGGTTCATATCCAGGGCAATCTTACGGCTCAACGATACATCAACGAAATTATCCTACCACACGTCCTCCCAATTGCAGCCAATGGCAACGGTGTATTTCAGCAGGACAACGCACGACCGCATTAAGCACGGATCACAAGAGCCTATCAACACAACAACAACGTTGATGTTCTCCCCTGGCCCTCCGGATCCCCGGATTTGAACCCGATAGAGCACCTGTGGGATGAATTGGACAGTCAGGCAGGAGATGTCAGATGACATACGCGTTATTGATGGTAGCTGACCATCACCTATGACTTTTCCTATGTACCGATAACTGAGATGACTACAATTACCAAGTGTTCTCTCCACATGTTTTGGCTCGATACCTTGTCCGGTTCCTCGTATAAATGTATTTTCCTACCTCACACAAATCTTGCTTTGAGTGTCTTGTTTTTAAGAGTATATTTATAGTTGTGTCTGGATGAAACAAACCACTCATTGATATGTACAACGCCTTATGTCGGGATACGTTGACACGCTGTCGATCAAGTCACCGAGCCTGTTTGTTTTTGTTGTTTCTTAAAGCCGCACTTAGCAATATTCCAGCTATATGACGGCGGTCTGTAAACAATCGAGTCTTGATCAGACAATCCAGTGATTAATATCATGAGTATCGATCCACGCAATTGGGATCGATGACATGCATCAATAAAGTCAGCCAGCCTGACCACCCGATCCCGTTAGTCGCCTCTTACGGCAAGCATGGGTTGCTGAAGACCTATTCTACCCCGGATCTTCACGGGTCGTTTGGTATATCAGAAAAAGTACATTTTCTGGCCTGTGCAAAGGTTCTAAATATAAGCATTGATACACCAGGGGCGGTCGGGTAGCCTAGTGGTTAAAGCGTTCGCTTGTCACGCCGAGGACCCGGGTTCGATTCCCGACATGGGTACATTGTGTGAAGCCCATTTCTGGTGTCCCCCGCCGTGATATTGCTTGGATATTGCTAAAAGCGGCGTAAAACCATACTCACTCATTGATACACCAATTTTTTTTGTGATAGTGGCGAAAGTTAATGTCACCAATTGTTTGTAAGCGCGTGTATACGAACTATTCAGTATTGGCATAAGGTAACATGAAGGACACATACTAATGAAATCTCCCACTATGCCCCTGTATCTGGTCAATGCCGGATATAATAAAGGGGCCACAAATATTCGAACGTTGTAATCCTCCTTTTATATATTGATTAACTGACGCTGGCGAGTGGTCAATGACATGACGTTGGAGTACATGGACTTCTGCCCACAACGTCCATCGTTAAAAAACAAAATCAACTTCTTCATCCTCACCAGTGTTGCTGAGTTGATCATTGTTGTGTCATTTTCCATGTAGCTCTTTACATGTACATGGGGTATCTTTCTTTCAGTTAATCTACATGTATATTGAGGGGCCATAGGCCAAGATTGGTATTGAGTGAGTGAGTGTGTGAGTTTGGTTTAACGCCGCTTTTAACAGTATTCCAGTTATATCGCGGCGTGTCAGCTTAATGTAGGAGGAAAGCCCGAAGTGATGCAGGTCTAAGACGTTTACCACTTCGGTGAACCTCACGAGCACGGGTATGGTGCTGACAAACCTAGAAACATAATTGGGGCGAACCGGGATTCGAACCCACAATCATAGATTTCTGGCGTGCCCAAGGGACGCAACTCTGCACAGCGAATCGCGGCGCCTTAGACGACTGGGCCACCCGTGCCCCCGATTGGTATTGAATGTTTTACTATTTCATTACATTAATCAACCCACACAGAAGTGGCACAACGCCTTTAACATGTATAAGCTGTGGAACATTGAATTTTCCTCTTTTCCTTCAGTTGATGATAGTGATTAAGACGACAAACTTGTCAGCAAATAGGAGATAGATACGCGATGTATTAGACACTTTAAAGATTTAAAGATATTTACCCGTCTTTTAAAAACGATGACCCCCTCAATAGAATACGACCTCGACAATGTCGGACAAGTCCATTTTATACACAGGTTGGTATTTCCCGCATATTCCTACAATCCTCACTTCGATTAACTGTATATTTTCTCCCAATACCGATTGTCATTCCGGATTTGGTATGCGATCGTTCGGCCAGCTACATCACATCTATGGGGGACAGCTCACTAGACACTACTCTCTAAAAATATCGTCGTCATATATACTCAAGTCATATATATATATATATATATATATATGATGTTCAGTACGTATGTTATAAAAGATGTAAACTAAATCGTATTCCATATATAAATCGTCATACTTTTTAGTGTTAACCGGAAGCATTATCGCAGTAATAGGGTCCTACGAAATTGTGGATTGTTTATCCTATATTTATATTTATTGAATTGATGTTTAGACCACTGTGCGACATCAACATGGCGATTTGCATCGTGTACGTGGTGCTATCTTTTTGTGCTGTTTTCGGTGCTGTTGTAGCAGATTCAGAATATGGCGAAGGGGCTCACAGTTACTCGACGGAGGCATTTAATAACAACGTCATTAAATTTAAGAACAAACATTTTGTGATGTTTTATGCACCTTGGTAAGTTACAGTTCGAAGTGTTTGACAATCAATATAGACTATAGGTGCGCGTTAAGCAAATTGAAGCTGTCTCGCTTGTGTTCTTCTCTTTGGGGCATTCACACGGTACAACTACTGGCAACGATGCAGTTTACCGGGCGCAGCCCGAGCTCTACCATCCGCTCAATTACCGCGCTATAGTGCCATCGCTGTCTCGCTATACTGTTACAGTGCCTCACGCACCGGTGACTCTCCTTCACGATCTAACACCCGTTTTCGGCCTTAGGGAAACTTACACGTCTTTACGATCCAACACCCCATTTTCGGGCTTAGGGAAACTTACACGTCTTTACCATCCAACACCCGTTTTCGGTCTTAGGGAAACTTACATGTCTTTATCATCCAACATCCGTTTTTGGTCTTAGGGAAACTTACACGTCTTTACGATCCAACGCCCGTTTTCGGTCTTAGGGAAACTTACATGTCTTTACGATCCAACACCCGTTCTCGGTCTTAGGGAACTTACATGTCTTTACGATCCAACGCCCGTTTTCTGTCTTAGGGAACTTACACGTCTTTACAATCCAACGCCCGTTTTCGGTCTTAGGGAACTTACACGTCTTTACGATCCAACGCCCGTTTTCGGTCTTAGGGAAACTTACACGTCTTTACAATCCAACACCCGTTTTCTGTCTTAGGGAACTTACACGTCTTTACGACACAACGCCCGTTTTTGGTCTTAGGGAACTTACACGTCTTTACGATCCAACGCCCGTTTTCGGTCTTAGGGAAACTTACATGTCTTTACAATCCAACACCCCTTCTTCAGGGTTAGGGTTAGGGTAAGGGTTTAGGGTTAGGGAAACTTACACCTCTTTACCATCCAACACCCGTTTTCGGTCGTTAGGGCTAGCTTGCTTTGGGCAAGGGTTAGCCAATAATTCTTACCTTCTCAAACGTTAATCTGGTTAATCCGATTGGTCGGTCATGTTGACATAAAGTGTGGTTTCAAGAAAAGATGAATGGGAGAGTGGACCGTGACGTCACACGCAATTGATTGCTTACTGAATTATGCATGCATGTTAATGGGGATTCTAAAGACCCGTTAAATGAGCACTGATTACATGTGATAGTGCCCGTGGTCCAGTGGTAGAGCGTCGGCTAATCAACGCATTATTTAGCAGAGCCGGTAGGCCTACGAAGCGCATTCGAGCCCCCACAGCGATAATTGGATCTGAAAAAGTGCGCCCGGTAAAGTGCACTACTCCTCAACTACTTGTATAGGCTACAACTTGTTATATGCAATACATTGATTCATCGTATCGACCAGCAATTATTTTTGTGTGTTTGTTGTATGCCGCACTCAGCAATATTCCAGCTATATGACAGCGGTCTGTAAATAATCGAGTCTGGACCAGACAATCCAGTGATTGACATCATGAGCATCGATCCACGCAATTGGAACCAATGACATGCATCAACCAAGTCAGCAAGTCTGACCACCAAATCCCGTTAGCAACCTTTTACGACAAGTATAGTCGCCTTTGAAACTTTGACAACATTCAGCACTTGTTCATTTACATACAAGTCTTTATTTTACACCATGGGGTAGAAATTCAATAATATACAACTCCAATAAATTGCACAATCAGAGCTTGGCACTGTGCCGTGTGACCACAATTCTCGCATAACTTTCAATGTTTTAGAACTTACAATAAAAATGTGCATCCCAAAATTAACTCGGCAACCATCTTTTACAGTGGTAATGTACTGAATAACTTTTTTGGAAGTTGTTAGTCAGAGATCTTGCGTGATCCAGTTAACAGCCACACCCTTCTTATGACTTAACATGTTTAATGGGTAAAGAGCTTATTCATTTAGCTCATCAGTGCCTTGGCACTATTTTTGTAATTTCAAGCCCTGCAAATGGTGACATATATATGAATTTCATATCATGAAATATGACATATATGAATTTCATGTTATGAAATAACTTAACTTGCAGTCTGAGGTCTAACCTGTTATTGATCAATGTTTATCACACACAGATGGGACCACTGCAAGATACTTGCTTCAATGTGTCAACCGATAACCTTAGCTTATGAATATAATATTATTTCACTTTAGATCTAAAACAAGATGTCATCTGTTTTATCACAACCGTTTCAACAATCAATATATATTACACACAGGTGTGGCCAATGCAAGAAGCTCGCTCCAACATGGGATGAACTTGCCAAAATCTATAATGCAGCCTCACCAGAAAGGCCAGTTGTTATTGCTAAGGTGGGTTCATCTCTTATGCTACTGCCCCATTGGGAAGCTGGGTTAGAATCACTACCCAGTTTATACTGGTCCATACTGCACGTCATGGATCGAATGGTCAGACTCGGTGACCTCTATACCCGGAAATAATTTGGGGATAACTAACAAAATACGAAGAATAATGTTTTTGCCGTCCCTAGTGAGAATGTTGTGAACTGTGGGCCTTGGCTAGGCATTTACTACATTCGTTCATGGGGAAAGGGATTAATTCTCACTTTGAGTTTTTTATATGCTGTATATTAATAGCATTTTACTCCAACATTTTAACGTTTGGAAAAGAAAAGGGAAAAAACATATGAAATGTCAACCCTCGACATCAAGATAAATTCTCTCACAATCGCTCAACCCTTCAGAGAAACTTCACTTCACTATTGTATAGATGATGTATTATCAAATGGTGATGTCATAAACAGTGGATGACATCATATATTATCATACCTCCATGTCAGAATGATGAGATCTGATTAGCCCATGTGATCTTGATAATGTAACAAATGTTATATTTGGGATAACACAAAATGAAAGTCCGACAACTGGTAGTCTAGATCACGTACTTTGAGTACCCCTCTAACAAGTGTAAATTGGCACGGCTTGTACTTTTTGGGGGTTGAATCCCGGACAGGACTCAACCCCCCAAAAGTACGAGATTCTGTACTTTACTAAGAAAGTGTTATCCCAAATATAACATTTGTTACATTTGACCACTTTCTAAATGGCATTGTGTATTCATAGCTTTCGGCCATGGGAGCCATGCCAATTTTACACTTGTCAGAGGGGTACTCAAAGTACGTGATCTTGACTACCAGTTGTCGGACTTTCATCTTGTCGAAGCCTCAGTGGCTGAGTGGGTTAGATCGATGACTTTGTGTGCTGGCGATTAGGTGCCTCACTCTGACAAGTGTGGGTTCGAATCCCGGACGGGACTCAACCCCAAAAAAGTACGAGAATCTGTACTTTACTAAGAAAGTGTTATCCCAAATATAACATTTGTTACATTTGACCACTTTCTAAATGGCATTGTGTATTCATGATCTTGATAAAATACTGAGTATCACACCTCAGAGGGGAATAAATTTTTCAGCAGGGAATAGATCTCTTATATCCTGCCCACCACAAGCAAGACATGCTGCATGCAGATTTCTGAGAGGCAGAATAAACCCTTTATACACCGCATGGATGCAAAAAGACGCATGCTTTTTCCGGGTCAATAAAAGTCACATGTCATTGCACAGGTTATTTCAGCTCAATCAAACAGCTGTTTTCTATCAATTTTGAATTTATTTTAATTCTTTTACAATGTCATATGAAATCATGTTGGAAAGATAAATTTGTTGTAGCAGGATCACTCGGGGGTACATGGGTACATGCATACTATTCAAAGTTTGCTAAGGATCACCACTTTAAGAGGTTAAAGCCAACAACAGTATTGTGTGAAGACCTGTTTAATGAACAAAAGTCCCTTGTCATGTGCCACACAATGCCAACAAACAACATGTGACCAATAATCAGTCAGATCACCTGTCAAAATAAGCGTTTCTGACTCAAACTGAAACATCAAATAATCACAAAAACAAATTCATTTTAAAAAAAAAACACTCTCTCAGTTGCTTGTATGTGATCCACAGCCTGGTACCATCGTCTCATGCTGTGCATTTAGTTTTTGCAGTGCTCACTAGCTAATGTTGTGCTCTCTGATAATGATGTGCCATGATTCTGTCACAAGACATCAAAACATGGGTTTTCAAGCACCGCGTGCACATGGTGCCTATGACTGTATCCCTCTGTCCGTTCATCATGAAACTGATTTCCAATAGGGGTTACCCAATCATTGTGTACCAAGATATTTCAATTTCTATATATTTTAATCAAAACTTGATCCTTAGCAAACTTTGAGAAGTATATTTGCAAGTGATGGAGCAATGTGGTGTATACAAACCAGTGAAGTATTGATGATGATTGTAGCCCACTCCCACTCATTGTCCACTGCTGATGTCATGTCTGTGTGCAGGGATGATGATTGTAGCCCACTCCCACTCATTGTCCACTGCTGATGTCATGTCTGTGTGCAGGGATGATGATTGTAGCCCACTCCCACTCATTGTCCACTGCTGATGTCATGTCTGTGTGCAGAGATGATGATTGTAGCCCACTCCCACTCATTGTCCACTGCTGATGTCATGTCTGTGTGCAGGGATGATGATTGTAGCCCACTCCCACTCATTGTCCACTGCTGATGTCATGTCTGTGTGCAGGGATGATGATTGTAGCCCACTCCCACTCATTGTCCACTGCTGATGTCATGTCTGTGTGCAGGGATGATGATTGTAGCCCACTCCCACTCATTGTCCACTGCTGATGTCATGTCTGTGTGCAGAGATGATGATTGTAGCCCACTCCCACTCATTGTCCACTGCTGATGTCAGTGTCTGTGTGCAGAGATGATGATTGTAGCCCACTCCCACTCATTGTCCACTGCTGATGTCATGTCTGTGTGCAGGGATGATGATTGTAGCCCACTCCCACTCATTGTCCACTGCTGATGTCATGTCTGTGTGCAGGGATGATGATTGTAGCCCACTCCCACTCATTGTCCACTGCTGATGTCATGTCTGTGTGCAGGGATGATGATTGTAGCCCACTCCCACTCATTGTCCACTGCTGATGTCATGTCTGTGTGCAGGGATGATGATTGTAGCCCACTCCCACTCATTGTCCACTGCTGATGTCATGTCTGTGTGCAGGGATGATGATTGTAGCCCACTCCCACTCATTGTCCACTGCTGATGTCATGTCTGTGTGCAGAGATGATGATTGTAGCCCACTACCACTCATTGTCCACTGCTGATGTCATGTCTGTGTCTGTGTGCAGGTTGACTGCACGGAGGAGACTGCAGTGTGTGATGATCAGGGAGTTACTGGGTATCCAACACTCAAGTTTTTCTATCAGTCTTCAAAACACTTTTCACTCTATGAAGGTGCAAGGGACTTAGACGCTCTCAAAACGTTTGTGGAGGAACAGTTTCGTCAGGTAGGTATTATAAATGTAATTCTTGTAATATTTATGAATATATTAAAAGATGATTAACTTTAGAAAAATAGGTCTTCATTTAAATAGATATTAGATTTCTAGATTCATATACTACAGTGGCAACCCTCAAGGATCTGAGGACCCCCTTAGTCTGGAACACTGATAGACGGGTGCAATGGGAATCATATTGGGAAAATAGTCTTGTTTTCTTAAATGATTGCTTCACAAGAAATATGTATGTGATTGTATTTGTGATTTGCAGGCTGAAGTGCTGGACTTAACAGCGGATGATTTTGATGAGGTTTTGGCTCATGGAATGGTATTTGTCAGGTTCTCTGCACCATGGTTAGTAGGAAGCTTTCCTTGGTTAATTCTGTACCTAGTGATGCACAAAGGCTGGGGGGCCCTGATTCATAGTGATGCACAAAGACTGGGGGGCTGATACACAGTGATGCACAAAGGCTGGTGGGCCCTGATACACAGTGATGCACAAAGGCTGGTGGGGGGGCTGATACACAGTGATGCACAAAGGCTGGTGGGGGCCTGATACACAGTGATGCACAAAGGCTGGTGGGGGGGCTGATACACAGTGATGCACAAAGGCTGGTGGGGCCCTGATACACAGTGATGCACAGTGATGCACAAAGGCTGGTGGGGGCCTGATACACAGTGATGCACAAAGGCTGGTGATGGCCTGATATACAGTGATGCACCAAGGCTGGGGGCCCTGATACACAGTGATGCACAAAGGCTGGGGGCCCTGATACACAGTGATGCACAAAGGCTGGGGGCCCTGATACACAGTGATGCACAAAGGCTGGGGGCCCTGATACACAGTGATGCACAAAGGCTGGGGTCCCTGATATACAGTGATGCACCAAGGCTGGGGGCCCTGATACACAGTGATGCACAAAGGCTGGGGGCCCTGATACACAGTGATGCACAAAGGCTGGGGGCCCTGATACACAGTGATGCACCAAGGCTGGGAGCCCTGATACATTGTGATGCGCAAATGCTGGGGGCCCTGATACACAGTGATGCACAAATGCTGGGGGGCCCTGATACACAGTGATGCACAAAGGCTGGGGGCCCTGATACACAGTGATGCACCAAGGCTGGGAGCCCTGATACATTGTGATGCACAAAGGCTGGGGGGCCCTGATACACAGTGATGCACAAATGCTGGGGGGCCCTGATACACAGTGATGCACAAAGACTTGGGGGGCCCTGATACACAGTGATGCACAAAGGCTGGGGGGCCCTGATACACAGTGATGCACAAAGGCTGGGGGGCCCTGATACACAGTGATGCACAAATGCTGGGGGGCCCTGATACACAGTGATGCACAAAGGCTGGGGGCCCTGATACACAGTGATGCACCAAGGCTGGGAGCCCTGATACATTGTGATGCGCAAAGGCTGGGGGGCCCTGATACACAGTGATGCACAAAGGCTGGGGGGCCCTGATACACAGTGATGCACAAAGACTTGGGGGGGCCCTGATACACAGTGATGCACCAAGGCTGGGGGGCCCTGATACACAGTGATGCACAAAGGCTGGGGGCCCTGATACACAGTGATGCACCAAGGCTGGGAGCCCTGATACATTGTGATGCGCAAAGGCTGGGGGGCCCTGATACACAGTGATGCACAAAGGCTGGGGGGCCCTGATACACAGTGATGCACAAAGACTTGGGGGGGCCCTGATACACAGTGATGCACCAAGGCTGGGGGGCCCTGATACACAGTGATGCACAAAGGCTGGGGGGCCCTGATACACAGTGATGCACAAATGCTGGGGGGCCCTGATACACAGTGATGCACAAAGGCTGGGGGGCCCTGATTCACAGTGATGCACAAATGCTGGGGGGCCCTGATACACAGTGATGCACAAAGGCTGGGGGGCCCTGATACACAGTGATGCACAAATGCTGGGGGGCCCTGATACACAGTGATGCACAAAGGCTGGGGGGCCCTGATACACAGTGATGCACAAAGGCTGGGGGGCCCTGATACACAGTGAAGCACAAAGACTTGGGGGCCCTGATACACAGTGATGCACAAAGGCTGGTGGGGGCCTGATACACAGTGATGCACAAAGGCTGGGGGGCCCTGATACACAGTGATGCACAAAGGCTGGGGGGCCCTGATACACAGTGAAGCATAAAGACTTGGGGGCCCTGATACACAGTGATGCACAAAGGCTGGTGGGGGCCTGATACACAGTGATGCACAAAGGCTGGGGGGCCCTGATACACAGTGATGCACAAAGGCTGGGGGGCCCTGATACACAGTGATGCACAAATGTCGGGGGGCCCTGATACACAGTGATGCACAAAGGCTGGTGAAGGTCTGATACACAGTGATGCACAAATGCTGGGGGGCCCTGATACACAGTGATGCACAAAGGCTGGGGGTCCCTGATACACAGTGATGCACAAAGACTTGGTGGCCCTGATACACAGTGATGCACAAAGGCTGGGTGGCCCTGATACACAGTGATGCACATAGGCTGGGGGCCCTGATACACAGTGATGCACCAAGGCTGGGAGCCCTGATACATTGTGATGCACAAAGGCTGGGGGGCCCTGATACACAGTGATGCACAAAGACTTGGGGGGCCCTGATACACAGTGATGCACAAAGGCTGATGAAGGCCTAATACACAGTGATGCACAAATGCTGGGGGGCCCTGATACACAGTGATGCACCAAGGCTGGTGGGGGCCTGATACACAGTGATGCACCAAGGCTGGTCGCCCTGATACACAGTGATGCACCAAGGCTGGTGGGGACCTGATACACAGTGATGCACAAAGACTTGGGGGCCCTGATACACAGTGATGCACAAAGGCTGGTGGGGCCCTGATACACAGTGATGCACAAAGGCTGGGGGGCCCTGATACACAGTGATGCACAAAGGCATGGGGGGCCCTGATACACAGTGATGCACAAAGGCTGGGGGCCCTGATACACAGTGATGCACAAATGCTGGGGGGCCCTGATACACAGTGATGCACAAAGGCTGGTGAAGGTCTGATACACAGTGATGCACAAATGCTGGGGGGCCCTGATACACAGTGATGCACAAAGGCTGGTGGGGGCCTGATACACAGTGATGCACAAAGGCTGGGGGGCCCTGATACACAGTGATGCACAAATGCTGGGGGGCCCTGATACACAGTGATGCACAAAGGCTGGTGAAGGTCTGATACACAGTGATGCACAAATGCTGGGGGGCCCTGATACACAGTGATGCACAAAGGCTGGGGGGGGGGCCTGATACACAGTGATGCACAAAGGCTGGGGGGCCCTGATACACAGTGATGCACAAAGGCTGGGGGGCCCTGATACACAGTGATGCACAAAGGCTGGTGAAGGTCTGATACACAGTGATGCGATAATGCTGGGGGGGCCCTGATACACAGTGATGCACAGAGGCTGGGGGGCCCTGATACACAGTGATGCTGGGGGCCCTAATACATAGTGATGCACAAATGATGGGGGGCCCTGATACACAGTAATGCACCAAGACTGGGGGCCCTGATACACAGTAATGCACCAAGACTGGGGGTCCCTGATACACAGTGATGCACAAAGACTGGGTGGCCCTGATACACAGTAATGCACCAAGGCTGGGGGTCCCTGATACACAGTGATGCACAAAGGCTGGGGGCCCTGATACACAGTGATGCACAAAGACTGGGTGGCCCTGATACACAGTGATGCACAAAAGCTGGGGGCCCTGATACACAGTGATGCTCAAAGGCTGGGGGGCCCTGATACACAGTGATGCACAAAGGCTGGGGGGCCCTGATACACAGTGATGCACAAATGATGGGGGGGGCCCTGATACACAGTGATGCTGGGGGCCCTAATACATAGTGATGCACAAATGATGGGGGGCCCTGATACACAGTGATGCACAAGGCTGGGGGCCCTGATACACAGTGATGCACAAAGGCTGGGGGGCCCTGATACACAGTGATGCACAAAGGCTGGGGGCCCTGATACACAGTGATGCTGGGGTCCCTGATACACAGTGATGCACAAAGACTTGGTGGCCCTGATACACAGTGATGCACAAAGGCTGGGTGGCCCTGATACACAGTGATGCACAAAGACTGGGTGGCCCTGATACATAGTGATGCGCAAAGGCTGGTGGGGGCCCTGATACACAGTGATGCACAAAGACTGGGTGGCCCTGATACACAGTGATGCACCAAGGTTGGGGGGCCCTGATACACAGTGATGCACAAAGGCTGGGGGGCCCTGATACACAGTGATGCACAAAGGCTGGGGGGCCCTGATACATAGTGATGCACAAAGGCTGGGGGGCCCTGATACACACTGATGCACAGAGACTGGGGGGCCCTGATACACAGTGATGCACAAAGACTGGGTGGCCCTGATACACAGTGATGCACAAAGACTTTTTGTATGTCAATTTGCACCTGATGCAAGTTAAATCAAGTTTCTTCAATCAAGCCCTATTACCAAGGACAGGTGTTAGAAGTTTGTGAGATTTAACCCAACTTGAGAACAATAGGATGACATAACTGGAGGTTTATAGGAAAGACAAGTGGAAGAATCCAGGCCATGTTTTGTAAATGATGGCATGGCCCATACATGTCAAACATAGGTACAACTCGCTGATGTGACATAGTGATTTAAACAAAAGACTAACCGTGCTGTTTCCTGAGAGGTAGGACTTGTGTATCCAGGGTAGTTCCGGTGCAGCCGATGGCCACTCTTGCTTTTTTGTTGGCTCCTTACCTGTCAATCATTTATGAGTTTAGGGGTACAGCATACACCCTTCTTTTTGGATCTCTCCTGGATCCTCCGGTGAGTAGTCACTGAGAGTAGATCCCCTTCTCCACCACACTTTCAGCTGTTTCCTTGTCATGCAGGTCTGGACATTGCAAGTGGCTTGCACCAGTATGGGAAGAACTCTCTAAGAAGTTTGTGGGTGTTGAAGACATCCATATTGCTAAGGTGGATTGCACTGTACAAGAGGATCTGTGCAAGAAACATGAGGTATTGTCAGTTTGTATTCAAGTGACATACATCCATGTCAAAGTTTATTTGTTTATTGTTTAATGTCACCACCCTTATTCCAGCTGTATCACATTAGCCAGTAAATAAGTATCAGACAGACAAACCAGTGGTTGATATTATGACAAAATCCAATGCCACCAGGGTATGCCTTTTTTATAATTCATTGTGAAATGACTGTCATCAGATGCTTTATATACATGGCATTGATGCAGGTGCAAACTCATTTTCTAGTATACTGGTGTGATGTTGGTGTGGTTGTTAAGTTTTAAGGATTTACCGTATTCGACGTAATAAGCGCCCAGGGCGCTCTCAAACTTAGAAATAGGGGGCTCATATTAGAATAAAATTTTGGTGAAAAACAACAGAGTGTAAAGATAGTAAATTTCGTGGTTTATGCTGACAGCCTGAAATGATACAAAAGAAATGTCTGTGCGTATTATAACGACAGATATATTTTTCCAGAATTTAATTGCCCATAATTAAGGGTGCATATAACACATGAGTGCGTATTATACATGGATAAATAAGTCTTGTGTACATTGATCAATCGGAGGGGTGCTTATTGGGATTGTTGACTAGCCAATATATTAGCAAATATCGTCGTGGGTGCTTATTAGAGCGGGGCGCTTAATGCATCACATACAGTACCCTAATTATGTTGATCATAAGTATCATCTGGCTATTGTTGAAGAGGAACTATATGTTGACAATTCAATGTGTTGAATTAGCATTTATATAAGTGTGTAATAAGCTGGAATTTGCAACATAGTTGACATTTTGTTCAGAGATTTCTAGATTATGAGCATCAAAAGATGAAATCGAATCTGTTCATTTGATATGTTTGCCCAAGTCTTCAAGACCCTGGTCCCATAAATATATCTATAAATACAATGATGGCTGTTTATTCTTATGTACTTTATTTGTTTTCAGATACCAGGCTATCCGACACTGATCTTGTTCAACAACGGTGTGAAGATCACTAGGTATGACGGCGACAGATATCTTGATTCCCTTTATTCATTTGTTGAACAAAATAAAGTCGTGGTAAAAAGGGACGAGTTGTAGACACACCTGCCGAGTCTGCACAAGAACTCTACACAACTTTAACTTTTGACCTCACAGATGTCAGGTAGCATCTGTGACAGAGATGTGTGAAATGTGTAAGTTATTAATGTTATAGTAAATACTTTTTAGCATATATTTGGATTTTGTAAGCTGGCTAATATCAGTGCAAGTAGTTGTACAGCCAGGTTTATGTTGGGGCATATTTGATGACTCCTTACTCTACAATTGACAGAGGTGGCCAAGACATCTAAGGTGCCGTGAATCGCTGTGCAGAGTTGTGTCCCTTGGGCACGCCAGAAACCTATGATTGTGGGTTTGAATCCCGGTTTGCCCCAATTATGTTTCTAGGTTTGTCAGCACCATACCCGTGCTCGTGGGTTTCACCGAAGTTGTAAACGTCTGAGACCTGCATCACTTCAGGCTTTTCTCCCACATCAAGCTGACACGCCGTGATATATCTGAAATACTGTTAAAAGCGGCATTAAACTCACTTACTACAATTGACAGAGATTATGACTTAGCAAGTAATATGAAATGCAGTGAGAACCTAGTCTTTGAAAGGCATTTATTATGAGGAGCACAATTATTGGTGTATATGCTTACTCCTTCATCAGGTGAATGGATGCTTACTTACTTACTTTGGAGATTTAACGTGCGCTTTCCGACTGATGCGTATTTCGCACACGGAAAATGGATGCTATGAGGCAGACATCATATATATGTAGATGTAAGGACACCAAGAGTAAAAAGATAACAAAAGGTGGAAACTTTACAAGGGAAGTAAACAGATAATTGGCGCTGATAGGTGATTAGCAATAGACAATGGAAGCCAACACTTTACAGTAATTAGCGCTGATAGTTGTGGACAACTGAAAGCCAGGACTAAATTATCACTGATTCGTAATCAGCAATGGACAATGGGCAAACAGGATTCCGGGGGTAATTAGCACTGATAGGTAAAAGAATAGGAGTAGCAATGGGCAAATGGAGGCCAGGTAGATAATAGGCACTGACAAAGATCATTGCAATACCGTATTCGACGTAATAAGCGCCCAGGGCGCTCTCAAATTAGAAATAGGGGGCTCTGATTAGAATATTATTTTGGTGAAAAAAAACAGAGTTGAAAGATAAATTTCATGGTTATGCTGACAGCCTGAAATGTTTATGTACGACAGATATATTTTTCCAGAACTTTATTGCCCATATTTAAGGGTGCATATAGCACACGAGTGCGCATTATACGCGAATAAATTAGTCTTGTGTACATTGATCAATCGGAAGGGGTGCTAATTGGGATTGTTCACCAGCCAATATATCAGCAAATGTCACCGTGGGTGCTTATTAGAGCGGGGCGCTTATTACGTCGAATACGGTAAGTCCCAAGCACTAGGCACATAGCTTCCCTGGTCACGGTTCATGGCTGGCTGGTGTCTCCTGATGTCAATGGCTTCTTGTAGTTTCCTTTGTTGCCAGTTGTTGATGTTCATAGAGAGGACTTTGGTGGCTTCCCACATGAGTGAGAACCTGTTATTATGGACCCTGTGCATCTAGAAACCTGCTATCAAGTGTTGGGAACAACTGCATCACTCTTTGTCACTGATTCTGTAAGTTGGTAATTGTTAATCCAGACAATGTTACTGAGATTGGAGCCGTCAAGATAAATGATGTTTCATTGCATCTACCAGTGAGTGAAATGGGATTTGTTATAAGTTAAGTTGTGGGTCCAGTGAAGATGGAAAATAAAACTGCAGTCCTCACCACTTGAAATAGAATAGCAAAATATCACAATTAATGCTTAACTATGACAGCTGCATGTTTGCTAACAGTTATAAAGTGAAAACAAGCCATTCAGGTGATAGGGAATATGACATACTGTAAGGACAAAAACTCAAGAAATATCCAAATTTTAAAACCTATCCTATTTCTCACTATGCATTTCATCCTGCACCTGTCATTGTGTGGGAACGATCCTAAAACAAGTTTCCAGCTTAAAAAAACACCTCACCCAAACACTTCCCCGCCATAACCATGGTTACCATCACCAACAGTGGCTTATGAAACACACACGAGTCCTGGCCAAGGATGAAATGCATAGTGTGAGATAGGATAAGTATTATGGATGTACAATTTATTAGAAGTTTCAATTTTTGTTTTGATCTTGTGGTTACAATCTGGTTATGGATCAGCAGTCAGGTGACTGCGAGTGGTCATATTTAGCAGTGTGCGCTCGAACTAGGTCTGTAGCAGTTTAAATTGTACACCTGCACACATGCTGGTAATGTACGGGCACTGCACATGCTGCTAGATATAGCCACTCGCAGTCACCAGCCTGGGCAGATCCAAGTCTAGGCAAGCCCAGAAAGTGTCAACTAGGGTTATGTTAATTCTTTACAAGTAATGACAGGCTATATTTCCTTTTACATTAGTGTGTATAACATGTAAAATCCACTTTCACAATTTTCTGTTTTTGAAATGATGGTTCGCATGAAATTAACAAAACAAAGAAACATGTGTTTTTCTGGCTGACCATACGACAGCCATCAATGCCTCTGTGTCTTTGGGCAACCAGTTGTGCTGAGATCTTTCCGTGGACTTTCCATTGTTGAAGTGTGATTATGTCAGGTGTTATTTTATCCTCTATGCAAATATGAAATATACTGTTGTAAAACCATTTCGTGGGAGTAATGGAGACAATAATAACTAATATATGTATCGATAACTGTAATGATATAATTCTACACGTTATGTTGACATGACATTTGAATGTCACAAAGTACAGTTGTAAGTTTAACTAGAAAGGATGAAGTAGTGAGTACCTTTTTGGTCCATGAGATCTGCATAATTTATGAAATAATGAAGACTTTTAGAAAGTGACATGACAGTTATTAGATGTGTTCATATGAATCAACGTTAGACTTTGTTCATGTCAACATGCATGTGTTCCATTACCACCAAATGTTGACATGACATAAATGTGATGAAAAAAGATAAGTTCAGAGGTTTTCAGGAAGTCATTTCTAATATTTCAACAAGAGCAAGTCTTTGAACAAAACAGAACCATAACTTTTAAAAGCATCACCCTTGTTCACTTATGTTTACCATATGTCTGATCATGTCCAAAACTTGAGAGCCATGAAGAGCCGGGGTAGAATAGCTCTTCAGCAACCCATGCTTGCCGTAAAAGGCGACTGTGAATGATCGTGTAATTTAATGCTGCCTAAAGTCAGTAGGTTGATTGTTTGGAAATAAATCCTATGCATCATTATAAATATGTAGACCCGTGAAGATACAGGTTAGAATAGGTCTTCGGCAACCCAAACTTGTCGGAAGAAGCGATTATGCTTGTCGTAAGAGGATCGGGTGGTCATGCTCCCTGACTTGGTTGATGCATGTTATCAATCCCAATTGCGTGGATCGATGCTCATGATTTCAATCACTGGATTGTCTGGTCCAGACTCGATTATTTACTGACCGCTGTCACATAGCTGGGATATTGCTGAGTGTGGCGTTAAACAACAAACCAACCAACCAAAACCCAAACTTGAAAATTATGGAAAGAAAAAAGCTTTTTGTTGTTATTTGAACATCTCCAAAAGCATTCATAACTATTAGTTTGTTGTAACTTTTAAATGTTCTTTTCCAGTGTGCCAAAAAGAGGTTTTGTTGTAATTCATACCTTGTCCTTCCTGTGTCCACATGGTCAGACAATGTCTATCCACAGTACATTGTTTGGGCTATGCATGGACAGTCAGGAGGTTCCTTCACACAGTGATAGTTTAAAGTGGCCTGTTTCATCCAGGTGTGTTATTGTCCTTTGTCAACTTGTGTAATGTAATATTTGATTCAGAGCCAGTGTTTGTGTGTGTGAACTTCACTGTGATAATTGATATAATTCAATGAGAGAGGAGTGATTCAGAGTCAGTGCTTGTGTGTGTTAACTTCACTGTGATAACTGATATAATTCAATGAGAGGAGTGATTCAGAGTCAGTGCTTGTGTGTGTGAACTTCACTGTGATAATTGAAATTATTCATCAATAGATTTGTGGACCGTCATTTATGAAGAAATTAAAATATTTACCAAATGTATCCATCAGTATTTGTTTTATTTTTCTGTAGCTACGTATTAAATAGAGACATAAAAAGTTTACCAGATATGAGATGAACTCACAAGACAAGGCCCCCTGTAAAAGGAGACGGAATTTGCCGTGGGTTGCGCCCCTGTGTCGGCGGAGGACGGGAATCTGGTGGTTGAGGGCACTGGTTCCAGGAATAGCGTTCCATTTCCCAAAACACCACTTTGACCCTTACTTCGCCTAGATGGGTGCTAGGATGGGCCAAGTCCTATCAATTGGCTGGTCATGCCAATCCCTGTGCATATCAATTGTATTGCACAAATTTGTCAATTATTTCAAAATTTCAACAGTTCCTATGAATCTGTTTTTGTCTTGGCACAACGTTATATTCAGTGAATTTCAAATGTATTATTTACAAGTATGTTCTTTGCCGAGAGCCGTATGCCCAGAAGGCAGTGGCTCATTGTCCAATTGGTGGAATGATTACTTGTTTAATTTTCCTGCTTGAGTATATCATCCCAGTATCCTTGGTGCTGCAAGTCGGAGATCTACTTGTTTATAGCACTGTCTTTATGACACTCCATGGTGGGTGGGAAGCTGGGATGATGAAACATGATATATACCAACATGGATCTTGAAACCCCCTTAAAGAAAAGTCAGCTTGACAATGATCTATGCACCAATGATAGTCATCGACCCCCCAAACAAGTTGAATATGGGCCAAGGTTTTTGCTTATTGAGTCTCCTGACCGAGAACCAATTGCACTCAACCCGTTTGCTATTTCAAAAGGGGTGTATGGTATAGCAGGTGATGTAAAGAATATCAAACGAATGAGATCTGGATATCTTCTCATAGTATGTGCTAGAAGACAACAATCAAGTAACCTGGTGTCTACTGATACCTTGGCTGGAATTCCTGTTTCAGTATCTGCCCATAGGTCACTTAGCTCAAGTAAAGGGGTTGTTAGAGATCGGGATCATCTTTTAGAGGATATGACAGAGCTTGACATACTCTGTGAGTTGAAAGATCAAGCCGTCCCACATGTCAAACGATTCTCCAGGCGTCAGAACTCTTCACTCAAGTGAATCAAACCAATACATACCTGTTTTCGTTTGTCTCTCCAACTGCACCCAAATCCATCAAAGCAGGTTAGTGCAATCTTCAAGTTGAAATGTATATCCCAAATCCGTTGAGATGTTATAAATGTAAAGACTTTGGTCATGGAATAAATTCATGCACAGATCCTGTAACCTGTGTTCACCGTGGAGAGCAATCACGTGTGTCTGC